TGTCTGCCTGAGCATTACCCAGTGGAGCTGCTGGCCTGAGTCGCCTCGCTCTTGTGTCTGTGTTGCAAATCTTTTGCTTTGAGTAAAGTCATACATCATTTCTACTAAGTTAAGGTGGGAGTCAGGTCTGCTAAGTGCAAAATGGTCTTCTATGCTTGTACAGTTGTTTTGATTTGTCTTTTTATATTTGTGTGGCTGGTTCATTTCCAACCCAGCAGCTTTACCTTGACATATGTTTGTGTACCGCAGTTCCAAACTCTGTTTGAAGAGGATGCTAATTATGCAGAGGACATTTTAAAAGGAATAGTGTGTGAAGTATAAGATCATAAATTCTGTGCAAAATTACCATAGGTGTGGCTTACCTAGCAAGAGAATTAATTTGCCTTGAGTTATTCTGGCCAAGCAATAACTGAGAGCTTGATAGAACAGAAAATCATTCCATTATAAATGATTTAGAGCATTCTGTACTTCCAAAATCACTATACAGTGACAGGATATCATTCTGCTTTCAGGATGTTAGCGATAAAGGAAAATAAATGATGAAGGAAGGGACCTTCTGGTGCACATRTAGTTAAACTTGACTTTTATTGTAGAAGTTTATGCTTGAGTCTGTGTGCAAATTGAATGGGTGTCAGCTGCTCCTCCCTCACGCCCATATAGCTACACCCTGTGAGATGAGCTACCATCAGTAAATAACTACTCCCATGCTCAAAGTGTGCGTAAGGAGGTGCAGCTCTTTTGTGAGGCATTAAAACAAGTGGCTTTTTGCTTCTCTCCTCGCTCTGCACCGGGCTTGTATGTGCATTCTTAACCTCTCTGAATTTTATCAGACACAGAAAGAATGACACTTCTTTGTGGTGTTGTTGTTGGCTCAGCCATCAAGTAAATATATGAGAAATGTTATCTGTGTAGGTTTTTTTCTTTTTTAAGGTGTCAATATARAGAATTACTTTTGGTGCTGATTTGGAATTTACTGCCATTTTTAGCMCCTGAATATTAGGTGGTAAAATATTATCTTCTGTCTTTAGATTCGAAATAATACCATGTCAATATCATACCAAATTTCAAAATTAATATTGATTTAGAAATTAGTAATGTAACACTATTATTATAATATTTTTCATAAYAATTATTATAATAATTTTAATAATAATTATTATTTGAAGCTGAAGTTTCTTAAATTATATGAATGCTCATTGCATGGCATTAGTTTTGACATTTTGGTAACAAAWTCATTCCTGTAGCTAAAAATTGCCTTGGTTTAACTCTTTACTAAGTTTTTATTTTTGGTTGGTTTTTTTGGAAGTCAGTTATTTAAAATACAAATACTTAGTGTATTTGGCAGTGGTAAATTTTAAAAAGTTTTCAGTGCATGTGTCAGTGTATTTAAACTGCACTGTTTCTTTATTTGGCTTGTAATAATTTAAATAAGCTATTTTTTAAGTCTCCCTTGCCCTTGTATCATTTCTCAATGAAGTGCTGGGCTGCATCACTGCATAAATTTTGCTATCTACAAATTCCAGGTCCAGAAAGACTTAAGAATATTATATTGACGCTGAGCAAACATTTTTTGATACAAAATTAGGTCCAAATTGCCTTTAAGTGCCAAACGGAGAGAATAAATCAGAGCTGTTTTCATTCACAAAGGTAGTGGCAAAATCACCTTCCAGGGAAACYTGCATTCACTGTCCTTCTCTCTCTGGAAATGTGAGGCTCCAGCCTCCAGAGGAATGGTCAGTCCRCTAAACTGTAGGGGCTGCAAAACCRATGTATTTTATTCTTTCCTTTCAAATTTGTTTCACTTCCTCAAAGACRAGCAAAGGTTGCTTGGGCCAGAGCACCCTTGCAGTGAGGGTGGTGTTTTGCAAGCCAGGGAGAGGCAGTGGGCCAGGATCTCATCTTTATGGGTGTCCTGGACACCACTCACAGCACTCTTACATGAACCTGCATAAGTTACTGTTGTTAGAATTTATYACACAYAATSATAGAGTGGTGTGGYTTGGAACATATAAAGATCCKCTCATCCCAACTCCCCTGCCATGGGCAGGGACACYTTCCACTAGAACARGTTGTTCTAGAGCTCCATCCAGCCTGGCCTTGAACACTTCCAGGCTGGGRCATCCACAGCTTCTCTGGGCAACCAGTGCCTCATCACCCTCACAGTAAAGAATTTCTTCTCAATAYCTACTCTAAATCTACCCTCTTTCAGTTTAAAGCCATCACCCCCTGGCCTGTCACTCCGTGCCCTTGTAAATTCCTGTAATGCATGTAAAGATTTCATCAAGTCAGAGCGAAAGACAGAATTTCTGTCATCTTGTGATTGAGGATGCTCCCCTGAGTAATGGGACTGAGACTCCAATTTAAGAAGAGCATTACATTATACAAAGTGCAACAGGTWCAGTGATGGAAACAGAGGCAATGAAATTGTTTTTTCTGAGTTGATATTGGAGACAGGGGATTGTTGTTCTGATTTTTGTTTCTCTGACTGCCTAATCTTTTATTTTATTCAATATTGTTTTCATTCAGAGATTATTAGATTTAATTTTTTTTTTGCATGACTGGACAATTTATTCAGCATAAGCCAATGTCATTTTTGTCAAGAAAAAAGCATCACAAAAAACTACTTTTTCTGGTTTATTTCAGAGTTTAGTTGTAAATCTGTAGGTGTTACAGCCCGGAGGCATTCAGATATATAAAAAGATGGGTAGTGGTGTTTCCATCTCTGAAATTAAATTAGTGTTACCAGTMGTTCATCTCTGTGCTTTTGGCTTGAAGAGCTTGTCTAGCAAGGCCTTTTATGATGAAAAATCAGGTGTTGTATGTAGTAGATTATGATGATCAGGGACCTATGTTTGCTCTCCTAACAAAAGGATTTGAAGGCATCAAATGAAACTAATAAGCAGGTTGAAATAACCATAAGGAGAATTTTTTAGCTGGTAGCAAAGCTGTGAGATTCATTGATAAAAAACACTGGGGTTGTTGAGTTTACATGAATTTTGAGAACAGTTAGATTTGAGTAAGAACAATTTATACTGGGATATTAAATGGAACAAAAGGACAAAAGTGTTTTTGGCTCACGAAAGTCATCCTGCAGCTGAAAATATATTCTGGGTACAAATTGTGTTAATGTTTTTCCTTTACCATCTGCTAAAGGCCATTGGAAAGAAACTGTAGGCTAGATGGACCCGTGGTCTGGTTTATCTCTTCACATAGCTTTTATCTTTCAGATGAACGAACACCTTACTCCACACATTTTAGCTCCAACCTTCCTTTAGTGGCATCATTGTGGCCGTAGGGACAGCAGTGCTTCCATTAGACCAAGGGCTGGATCTTTGTGAGCCACTGGGTCCTTGGTAGGAATGTGGGCTCAGCAGGGTAGCTCCAGTGCAGCTCCTTGATGGTGGTCTGGCCATGCTGTCCCACTCTGTACCTGCAGCAATCCTGCTGCCAGGGACCAAGGTTTCARTCTGTTACACAGGTTTTTGCACTAAAGGCTTGTGACTGCTCTCGTTTCTATTTCTATTCCTSTTGGTAACCAGTAATGGTCACCTGTTGGAATCAATCACTGCGTGTCAGGGTGTGCAGGAGCTCAAGGTAGTGCTAAATGAGCTCGGCATTGCAGAGCTGCCTTAATGTGGCCATTTACCTGTGGTTATTGGCTGTAAATACAGAGGATATTGGTCCAGCTGGATTTCTACTCTAGATCTACTCATCAGCTCTGGTCTGACCTGGCTTGGATGCCTCTGCGTGGGATTTCACTGGGCCAGTTTTGATGTAATATGGGTCTTTGGGGTCAGATTCTAGATATTAGCTTGGGGTATATTTTCAGCCAAGAGGTGTGTATTTACACTCCCAAAAACAGACACCCTGTGGGAAAGACATTCTGCCTAATAAAAGGATCTGTTTGGGGTGGCAGAAAGGGTTAAGGGTGCCAGGGAGTTCTCAGAAACAGAGTAGAATGCAAAAAAAAAAAAAAAAAAAAAAA